GCCGTTACGCTCAAGAATTCCCTGACTTGGTCAGGGTCTATTAGGGACAGGTCGAATACATGAAAACTCATTGAACCGTTCGTTATTGTATAACTTTTTGGATAAAACTGTTTACCTTCTTCTTTGGCGGTGACCTAAAAGATCACCTTGTTAGGTGGTCGAGGGTTATAAGAGTGGGTCCTTGCACCTGTTGTTCTGCACCCAGTTATATCCGTAATGAACCTCATGGTAGCCAAGCAACCCTTATTCGCTTTGTGAAGCCTTGTACATTATACTTGCGTTGCTTTGCTAAGGCTGAGGGAAATTCCCAGTACTTGTGCTGTACTGCGGTGCGGGTGGAACGTAGTCACGGCAGCTTCGGTGCCGGCCGTAGTTACACGTCCGTACTCGCTCCGGACTCGGATGACTGTTGATGCTACGCATCAATCACCGGGAATCAGAATTAAGTATCTTCAGTGAGCCAAGGAGGTATCGATCCTCCATCCTCTCCGTTATGAGCGGAAAGCTCTACCCTTAAGCTATTGGCTCGGCTCATGCCGAATTAGATAGATGGTTAGCGGAGGAGGAGGGGGGGAATTTTAAACAAGTTTATTCGTATTCTAAGAAAAACGGAAGGAATTTAAGAACTGAGGTTCCCATCACGGGATACTATATAAGAAACCCCTTTAATTTGGAACAGTGTGCGGTTTTTAATGCGCTTGTAAAGCGTAAATTTAGGAACCCCTAAAGATTCAGCCAGTCTGAGAGTATTAAAGTGGACGGCCTGGAGCTCAACTCCGTGAGCATGAACAACGTACAGATATACCGGCTTCCCTTTGTTAAAGCGACCATTCTTTTCCCCAAGGTGAGAAGAACTCATTTTAGCCTTCGTTTCATCCGAATGTTTCTGCCCCTTCTTAGAAGCAGAGATCTTCGATTTTGTTTCCTCGGAGGTTGAATGCCCTTTCTTAGTAGCCGAGATTCGGGACTTCGTTTCATCAGAGTGTTTCCGACCCTTCATCTTCTCCTTAGCCTCATCAGTGTGTTTAAATCCAGCTGAAGAGCCTGCTGTGGGTAAGATATTATATACACAAGTACAGTTATCGAGGACTGATTGCTCCAGAGAAAGAACCACTTCTTTTGTGGCATTAGGTATGAAAAAGAGAATTAAAGTGAAACCAACTAAACCATATTTTAGGAGAGCATGTCCTATAATACCATGAGGTCTCCTTAGGGAAAAGTAATCCGAGATGGGTGTGTATGTGCTTATAACATACTTTCCACCGCTGGGTCGCTTGCTGGGTTTAAACACAGTGAGGAGACTAA